TCGGTTATTGGATGGATGTGAAGGCCAGGCAGATGAGCGAATCCGTTCGTCGGCTCCGTAAGTAGATTCTTATACGGGAGTGGTCACGCTGGTGCGTGAAGTGTGCCGGCGTCGGCCTGTTGGTAGGAGCGCAGCAAGGTGCCTTGATTGTGCTGATGGCGAGCTGGCCGTTGTTGAGGCCGCGCTCCGAGGCCGGGTGTCTACGGAAGTCGAGCTCATTGAGGCTCGCAACACCTGGTAGCTACACGGACTGTGCCTTTCTGGCGCAGGCTGTTCCCGAGGCCTTTGAGCCTCAGCGGAAGCTTCGCCCAGCAGTGCTTGTTGCGCCGGTCCAAGGCCAGCAGCGAGCCGTTTCCTTCTGGAACGGGTTGAGCGAGATGTTGGGGTACGTTCGAGTGCCGACACTCCCCGAAGCTGTCCCTTTCAAGGACAATCATCTTTTGTCTGCATACCCCACGCGGTTGGAGGATGAAGGGTTGACTTTTTGCGTGGCGTGCGGAAAGAAGACGCAGCTGCATCGTGCGCGGGGACCCGATTCATCTGACCTACGTTGCCAAGAAGCAGAGCGGTGAGGGTGACATCGTGTGCGGACCCTGTTACGCTCTCCGTGAAGAGTTCTGTCGCACACTTCGCTGCCGAAGCAGCGCTGAGCTTCTCGAGGAAAGACTCCTCGACCTGGAGGAGAGCGACCAGGACAGGACGAGCACCCGTTGAAGGACGAAAGTTCCTCACCGCGATTGTTCCGCGTGTAAAAAAGGGCCAGTCGCTGCGCCGTGCTGCTCACGCCTAGCGCCTCGCCACGTGAGTAGTGTGGAAAGCTTTAAAAAGTGGGGCAGCTGAATAGGGCTGCGCGCGCTGTTAGGACTTCTGCACCCTTGCACAGCCTGATGCATGCGGTCGCATCGTTGAGTAGCACTCAGCGTAAAGCCATACGGCAAGGAAACTGCAACTCGGTGCCGTAGCATCGGCAGCTGCCAGTTGTAGAGCCCTTTGCACAGCGCCGAGTCTCACGACTCGAGCCGCCGCCCTGCCGCGCGCTAAAACAAGCTGCACGCTGCAGCTGGCTTTCGGGTGTTGCCTAGGGTTGTTGGGGTAAGGGTAGCTAGGCCTACTTGAGCTGGGGACCTTTCCCTAGGGTTTACTTAGTGGCAGTGCGCCACTTTTACCACGTGAGGGTTTGGTATCGATGGTTCTATCGCCTCACCGAGCGTATTGTTGTATATGTGGTTTGCCCTGACAAACTTGTTGTTGACTTGCAGCAACCAAAGCACTCCCTGCAGGCAAACTCGGTCCGGCTATTTTCTTGCCAAAGATGCGCGACGAGTTGTCTGTGCAAGGGGCATGGCTCGAATCCTGTAGGTCGTAGACAGATGACTAGCGTTTAGCTAGTACGGCAATAGTTCACTATGCCGAAGCATTCACTTGAGCCAAAGTTGCGCGACATGCGGAGCAGTCATTCACTGTCGCATGGTCCGGCTAGAGGTCCCATGTGCAGGCAAGATACAGGTGACGAGACAAGGTCCGTAAAACGGAGCCTGGCTCTATGCACATGGATGACTATGACATTGTGCTCATAGCTGATACTGCGACACTTACGAATTGGACTAGGGATTCAGGTCCGTTCGTACCCCCCATGAGTTGTGCCTCCGGCACTGCTCACATAGAAGAGAGTCGCGATTGGAAAGACAGAAATTGTCCGCAGCAATTTTCATGTTAGGATAAGAGCCGAGACTTGCCAATTAATGACAGTGTGATACTTCTCTACATCAGTTACGATCCCCTGACATGACATCGCGGAATCAGAGAGTCACCAAAGAAATCGGCCACGAGTGAAGATCACTTGCGCACAGCCAGCGCCACAAAGACGACCACAAAATGGATAGTCTTCATCGACTGTCGCGTTCCTATCGTCGGAGACGTCACGCTCATGTTCACGTTCTTCGGGAGTCTTGGACTTGCCCTTTCCCTTTTGCGCCTTTGTCGACGTAGGTGTTGGCGCTCCAAGATACTCGCCGATTGTCTCCCTTGCCGGACGATGTGCCTTTGACATTGGACGGGCGAGCAACGCGGTCACGCTGTTCGAGGGTGATTCCTCGAGCCGCACTGCGGCAGCTGAATTAGCGGCTTGAAAAATGACAAGTCGCCGCCCTATGTCGATGATTGCGCCAAGTTTCTTCAAAGTCTTGACACTGAGAAGGATGGGCATCGAGCCTTCAATATAGGATAGGGACTTTGCCACCTCCCCATTCCCAAATCGGACCTTACGGCGGCGCTCGGGGTAGACCTTGACAGTCTCGTGCTCTCCACGTCCACGGGCCTCCAACGCCTCCAGGGAGCCGACGGTGGTGGTCGCTCCGATGTCGAGCACCGCTTTCCTGGTCATGTCGAAGGCCATCGTGGGGTAGACTTCGAAGCGCGCCTCAACATCGTCCGACATGAACTCCTCCGAGGGCTCAGAAACGACCGCAATGTCGATCATGTAGGCGGCATCAATGAAGTAAGAACTGTTCGAGAACTGTACAGCCTTAGGTCCCTGTGCATTCTGGTTACTCCGTGGGCACGACCTGTAATCATGTTCTTTGGAACCGCATATGAAACACCCGGTGCAAGCTGCCGATCCGGGTCGTTGCGGTCCCTTTCCGATTCCTTTGCCCTTCACGGCAAACACTGAGGAGGTGCTGGAGGACGAAGAACCCTTTCCGGACCCTTTTGAGGACTTCGTTTTACCCTTACCTTTGCCTTTCGGTGGACAGAGCCCTCTCCCAAGATTCCGATCCTTGATCACCTGGCGACTTTCCCGGAAAGACCGCATCTTCTGGTCGAGCTGCCCGTAAATCTCGAGGAGCTCTGCGCCAAGAGACGAATCCGAGATCATCACCTCCTCGATGTCCAACCAGGGCCTCGTGTCGGTGTACGACCACCAAATCCCCTTCATGATCTTGGGTATGCCAGTCGCAAGCACAGAAAGACCACTCCAGATCAGTACCCGTGGGAGAGTGAGACCAAAACGTGTCATGCCAGCCGTCCTCCCGATCGTCATCCGGCTCAAAGCTTTGCCAATGCATTTGGTCCTCGTGCACATCATCCGGGTCTTCGAGTAACAGCCCCAGGACCCCTCTTGCTCAACCCAGAAGGACCTGCGTTTAGTCTGGTGACCTGGTGAAGTGAAGTTGCGGCGTTCAGATGAAAGGAGCTCTTCCTCCTGGTCGCTCAGAGCGCGTTCTATCTTGGAGAAATCCAGATCGTTCTGAGTGGCGCTCTGGATGGCAAGACGTGCAGAACTACTAAGTCCCGACCTTCGGAGAAGCAACCAACCCAGAATGGCCGATGGGAGAATGTCTGTATCGCCTTGATCAAACTCATCCCACTGAATCTCTTCGGAAGACTCTGACGACTGCGATCGCTCATCCCACCAACGACAGCGCTGCCAACGATCCCAATCCTTAGATGTCCACGCCGATCTCCGGCTCCGACGGCTCCACTGATCTGTGTGTCTCGGACGTCATACGCTGGATGTTCATCTTCTTGAGGCTGAGGAGGTTCATCAGGGGGTCGTTCGGCTTGACCTTCACGACGAGGTTCATGATCAGCTGCGATCATGAGGATCATCACGGGTTCTGGGCACTTCCGCCGGTCCACGCCGGTGCGACCCAGAGGGAGTATCGCGCATCGGTTCAGGCTCCTCAACACTCTGCCTTCGGACTGAGCTCTTCTTGGACCATTTTGGAGATGGCGTAGCTTGTTTTTGGCAACATTCTGCTCGGTGAGGGGCTGAGAAACTGGCAGGGTAGAGAATTGCATCTTGACCAAGGACCGCTTGAGGCGACGATACGCCTCACGCACCTGCATAGACCACTGAGCCATGCCTACTCCAGGTTACCGTCTGAGACGTATGAAGAAATCTTCAAGACGTGGACTTAGATCTGGAATAGGTGTCTTCAGTAAACGGTCTTCTAAAAACCGGGAGATATCGAGGTCCAGTCGTTTTCTGAAGTTCTCGATGATCAATCTCTACACTGATGTCCCAGGCTTTGCCTTTCAGGCGCGAGAGCAACTCAGCTCACGACACACACTCACAGCTCACAAGAGCCAAGATATCCGCGCTCACAAGAGCGCACACGATGACTCACAAAGAGCCTCCGGAATGCTCAGGCAGAGCATTGTTTTGCACACATAGCCATGAGTCGATAAAAAGGCTTCGACTATGACGAAGTCCACGGACATACCAGGCAAACGAAGCATGCACGTAGGTCAACTGTACCTGAGCTCAGACACTTGAGGCGAATCCTTGACAGTCGTTGCGTGCCTATCTTCGCTAACTATTCTGTTCGTCGTCCTTCTATAGGGAGCTCTTGACAGTGTGCCAACTTCTCGTCGTTCTCTTTTGTTGTCTCGATCTACTGTGCTGATACACAGCTTGTCATAACCCAGATATCATGCTGTTGACTTCGGCAAAGTGTTAGACAATGGTATGCAAAACAAAAAAAGTTTGGTGGCAAACGCAAGGATGCATTCGGGGGCAAACCCGAAGCCCTAGAATGGCGCATGCCCATGCCTAAACCGTGGAAGATGTTGGGTGGCAAGCCCAAAGCCCAAACCCTAATAGGTCATAGTGGGTAAAACACTCGAAGAAGCAGGACAAGACACACATCAATCTGGCACCAAATCAATGTTTCACGCAGACTACCCGAAGCCGAAGGCTCTGGCCAGAGTCTCAACAACAAGACACTCGTCACCATAAACAGAAAATCACACATCGCCGAAAAGCGAAGTCACAAGTCACCTCCGGTAAAAGCAAAAACAATAAGATTAGCGCCGGGCCAGGATTCAGGGGTCTTCCGGCCAAGGGGGGGTTGGAGAAAGCCGAAAGTCCCGCGAAGCGCAAAGTCTATGTCGGCAGATAAGTGTATTGCTTGCAAGATTGCAGACTCAAACTTGGAGGCTGCCTCGGACTCTGTCAACGTTTCCTCTAGCACGCTCTGAGGAATCTCCGAGGCTGCCTTCCCTCCGAGCGCAGCCGTGCCGGATGATGCAACACCTCGAGAAAAACAACAAACAAACACACGCAGACAGACAGGCAGACAGACAGAGAAACACAAATAGACAAAGAGACGGAGATGCTTTCAAGACGTCACATGGCATGGCTTGGCTGGATGCTTACAGTCGGGCAGCGACCTGAAACCTTGGGAACCTGGACTGCCGGGGCCAGGGCCCATTCTGGATGCAAGTTGTAAAGCTCGCTGTCCTCCATTTCACCATTCATAGCTGCTGGCTCTCTTTCGATCTTCTTTTCCATCGCATTTCAAGCATCAATTACCTTGCTGCCAAAAGGATTACCACGACACCCACATGAGATAGCTCAACGTATCCCCGAGGGTCCTTGTTCACCATCTCCGGCTCCACCCAAAGGCCCAATTTCAGACCCATCTGGTTCAAGTCCTCTGAAACATTTTTCACGTCTTCGAAACTATACCAGTATACTTAGAGTATACGTAGTAGTTTACATTGGTAACTAATCCCAGTTTCTTCCCCCATCATCATGGACAAGCCAACCGAAATTGCTGTAGTGGTAGCTTCCCTAGGACAGGGCCTTCGCAAGGCGGCAAACCACGCTCAAAGTATCGAGGCTGCAAGCGTCTTAGCCTCTTAGCCGTCTTGTCGACAAAAGCCAGGCTAAGCCAGAAGCAGCAGACAGCGGACCCGCACCCCCCCGCGGCCCGCAGAGCTGGGCCAGCGTGCCTCGGCCAGGCCTTTCAAGCCTCGACACGAGCGTGACGAGCGCTCTTGACGAGATGCTTGGGGGGTAGCTTTAGAGGTTTTAACGGAGGCCTTTGCGAGGAGAGCTGACCCGAGGCCCGAGGCTCGGCGCCCCACCGCGCGGTAGCTTTCGCGGATCTTCCTTCCAGTCACCTCATTGGCACGCTGCACGGCACTGCACGTCTCTGTCTCAGGGTCCCTCAACATGGGCCATGTGGGCCCTGAAGAACCCTGAGTCACTCTCCTCTCGCGCGAGCCTTCACGTGACTGAGGCCTGCACCGAGCGAGGTGGTGTCCTCAGCAGGCACTGCCCACATTTCTGTCAGGATTTGGCTGTCGAAGAATTGAATTTGACAGGTGAAGCCAGAATGAGAGAGGAATGACAGAAGGCGAGCAGCGACGCGCGCCGCGAGACGCGCCGAGCGTCGTTGTGGCCGTCCCTCGGCCTCGTCTCGTGGCTCCCGGTGGCTCCCGGGCTCCCGGCATCGTTCCTTTTGCCAAACCATCCGTCATCGAGGACCAGAAGCCTCGAACTGGGAGGAGATTTCTCGCAACAGCTGCCTGCCTGCATCTTCGGATCCCTCTAGTCAGTAGCACATGATATGGGGACTTAAGGTGTCCAGGTGCATCCAGGCGACTCGACGCCGACCTGCTTAGCAGGGCGCGCCTTGGTCCAAGGCCACTGAACCCACACTGGACACCACTGGACACTGCTTTAGAATCGATGCGACCGGCGCCTGAGCCTATAGGAAGACAGGGAGATGCTGAACTGCTGAGATTAGAGCTGTGAGATATCTCTGATAAACAACAACCAAAGAACACACGGAGGGCCCTCCATGAGATAGAGCCTTAGGGTTTTTGATCCAACTTCCTGCTGTGCCCGGGACAAGCTCCAGGATCTTGTCGTGAAAGACCTCCCACCAGGTATCATCTCTGATTTAGTACGTTGTCATGGTTGCTCCGATGCCTCGAAGTAGAGGGCCTCCCATGTATTGATCAAGACCGGGCAAATGAGGTTCCGCCAGCGTGGCGCAATCAGCCTGCCATCTCCATGACCGCAAAGGTTCATCTCGGACAAGTGCAAATTCAGAGACTGGGAACTGGGAACCTCTCGCCCAAGAGCCGGTGGAAGCTCCGCGTCATCTCACCCAGGCCTCAAATGTGGGACAGACCTCAAAGTGCTGAGCGCGCGCCTGCAGCACTGTAACAGCCTTTATCCGAATAGACGCAGACGCACTCGGGGGACTCGAAGCTCTCTTGGTCGCCTCGGCTTAGGGGGACTGCGGAGGGACCGCGGAGAGGACCGGTGGGCCACGTGGGGCTCTGGCGCAGGTCCCACTTGAAGTGGGTGTTGCTGAGACCTGCCAGACTGCCAGAGCTCGAAGCTCGAAGCGGGCGCTTGGACTCATGAAGCAAAGACAAGTCCGGCTGAACCGACGTTGACTCGCACGCATCCGGTGTGACTCTGTTCCACCTGCGCGCGGATTCCAGCATTCTGCCTACAGTATCCCATGCCCCCACTCGGAGGCCTCCATAAGCCAGTTGCCAGAATAAAGCAGGCAAAATCCCCAGCACTGCCTGATCGAAGAAGTGGGAAGGAGGCTCCAGGCTCCCCAGGCTCCAGCAAAACTGAGTTCATGGCCCCGAGGTTTCAGAGGGTGGACCGGCCGAAAGAACCTGAGCGCAACGAGTGAAGAAGGATGCACTTGCCGCGTTGGGCCCATGCTGCTGCCATGCTAGCGAGACAGAGGGCAAGGCACAAAATGGGTTCATCTGGTGGGAAGACACGCCGCGATTGCTGCCAATGTGGATGGTGCCTTCTTGCAGCCTGGCGCAGAGACGGTGACCAGCCGCCCCCCCCCAAACTCCACACACCACTCTCCACCGCAGCATCTCAGCGGAAGCGGCGGAAGCGGCAGCGGCGGTTCCGCGCGCCCTCCGCGCGCGCCGCTTCGCGCCTGCGGGAGGTGATCTGCCGTTCGCAGGCCCAGGAGCCGTGGAGCGACAGCAAGTGCCAGTCGTTCGTCAGAAAGTCAAAGGTGCCCGACCTCAGCGCAAGGAACGAGGACCTAAAGACGACCGCCCTTAGTGAAGTTCTTCTTACTACTTTTACTACTTTTACTCTCTTTCAATCCCCCCCCCCACACAACCCTTCCCCTTCCGCCACTGCTTAACCGCCGCGCCTCGAAGCATTGAGGCACGTTTCGGACGTCACTTGCGCGTAGTACCCTTCGACCCTTCTGCGAGCGAGCCCTTCCGCAAGAGCATAAACCTCTCTTGACGAATTATGCTGACTCCCTCCTGAGAATGCGAGCACCACGTGCTATCCGCTACCGCCAACAGGCTTCATAGCTGGAACAAGACCTGAACTCTTACAACAGCTGGATCAAGTAATTGCTTGCTTCGTTCGACTGACACGTTCCTCTGGCACTACGGCTAACGCATTCAGACGGATTTGCTGGAAGCGCCCTTCCGCGGAGCAACGCCTTTCGCAGCCCTCCCGCGCGCACAGTCCCAAAAAGATTTTCAGATCTAGCAAAAAATGTGTGTCCAGCTGTAGTCTTCCGTCCAGAAACGGAACTTTCAAACACTGCTCTCTTGGGTCCAGGTGCTGGGGCGGGGGCGGGACAGGCAAGTAGCGTGAGTGAGGTTGCAAATCAACACTTCCGGTCGCCACGGGACAACACGTGGAACCGGGAACGGACACGTACACTTGAACCTGGGATCACAGGATGGATGCTTTCCCTCAAACCCACAAGCCTGGAATAGACAGTCCAGCAGGATGCGAGTCGTTCAAGAAGTGCCATCCACACGGCACCAACAACTCCCAGCGCCTAACCCGCGGCAGTCGCTCCGGCTGCAGCACATAGCATATGGCTGCAAGGTCAGACCAGGCCCCAGCAGGATTACATGTCAAGGAAACCAAAATGAAACGGTCCTACAATCACAAACTCTCCGATGTCCGATCTCTCTTTCTATCTCTACACTCTACAGGGCGTGGGGAGACTGCAGCGTCCCGGCAGCCCCTCCGTGCGCGCGCGCACCCCCGCGGACCTTAGGCACGGTGTCCCTGTCCCTTCGGGGATTTTCCGTCTCTCTCTCCTTCCTTCCATCGGGGTAAGTCCGCGAGCAGACCCGGCCCCAGGCCCACCATTCCTCCCCCTTTTCGCTATCTCTCTCTTTGCTTTGCTTTGCTCGGGGTATGGGGTGGGAGCAGTCCTCCCGCCCCGCGCAGGTGCGCTACCCCATCCTCTCTCTCTTCCTCCTGGGCTTGGGGACGGGCCGCTTGAAAGCCCACCCCAAACATTGATGGGGATACAGGGAGTGAAGAACGAGTGTAGTGCAACCTTCTGGTTAAGGCCTTCAAGTGAACGATAACAGGACTGTGGTTGCACGTACACTCTCCACTGACGTATTTCCCGATTCCTCGTCATCTATGACTCGCAGCCAGTATGATGACATGAGAGATTTGACGGAGGAATACAGGTCCCCCCAACTCTACAGATCTACCTGACTGGGGAATCGATGGAGAGGTCAAACACCAGTGTTACTTTCCCACTGCCCAAGGCAGAAATAGCTTGCTTCTTGCTGTGTAACAGATGCAGAAGCAGAAAGAACAACGCAAAGCTAAGGTGTATAGTTTATTGAAGCCGATATGCCTCTCTCTCTGTTTCTGTCTTTGATGCACCAAGCTGCATGCACTTCATCAGGTCAACGCCGCCCCAGCCCAGGCGCGAGCTATTCTTCACAACCTCGGATGCTGTCGAGTAGCACTATCTCCGAGTAGTTCAATTTGCTTACTGTCGTACTGACGAAAGAGTCAGAGAGAACCCACACAGCCACCACAGGGTTGCCATATGCACGTATTCTCATGAAATAATTCAACGACAATGTAATATAGGGTTGTAGCACATTATGTGGTACTTGATTGTGCTCCTCGTGCATATGTGTCTAAGGCTAAAGCAGTTTCTGACAAACTGCATGTCAGGTGTGCCCGTACGCATGTGTATATGTATACATGCATATGCACATACGACTAGTTATATACATGCATACATAGATACATACATATCTACATACCTGTATGTCTATATGCTAACCCCCCATGGTAACCCCCCTCCCAAAGATCTATGCTTTTAGACTGTTTCCAGCTCTTCCCACTCACGAGCATCTCCTCCCAAACAGACCACTTTTTGCCAATGTGCTGTACTGCCACAAAAGCCCAGTCTTTCAGGCTAGCTCCCCAGGCCTCCAAAAAATTGGTTTTGTTGGGGACAGTGTGACAGTGCAGCACTTTTTGCAAGGAACAAACAAACAAGACTTGATTTTGCTACCGTGGCTGTACGGGCCCAAACAAGCCCAACAACAGTCTTTGCAGGTTCGTGGGGCAAGGTGGCCACTGGTTTCTTTGATTTTTTGGGTGCCACAGACATGCACATGCAGACTGACACAGGAGCCGTGGAGATAACAAAACCAAGAAGGGCAGAGGACCCCACAGAAATATTGAAACGCATTGAACATCAATATGGCGGGTCCAAGATCGATCATTGCACGGGACTCCTTGGGGGGAATCTTGGACTCAGGAAGGGCCATATCGAAATATTGAAGCCAAGATCCGTGATCCAAGATTCCTCCCCAAGAGTCCTGGGGAATCTTGGATACGCCATATTGAAACTCAATGTGGCTCAATATTTCAATGAGGTCCTCCGCGGCCCTATTGCAATATTGGGCGGCATTGGGTTTCAATGTGGTCGGTTTGTGCGGACATTAGGAGATGATCTGAGACACGTGAGTGGCAAGGGGTTGGTGTGGTCATGCAATGGGGAGATGCTCGTGAAGGGGAAAGAGCTGAAAACAGATGAAATACATAGATCTTTGGGGGGGGGGGTGGTGGTGTTACCACCGTCATCTACCCAAAATACCCAACCCAAAGTGCCAAGGTGACCAAGGTGTGCATGTGTAGGCACAAGTCACCGGTGTCGGCAGGGATGCGACCTAGGCATATTGATTGTACCGTTATTCCAAGCATACAAGGACCACGGTGTAGTCATACGGCTAGTAAATACTACGATACTACAACTCTTTCATACATTATCATATGCATGCGACCCTAAAGCCTCCGGAAGCGCCCTAGTACACATTTCTCAGCAAGTCTCAACTCGACGGCTCACCGCAGAGATCCCAGGAAAGACGGTGTAGATGAGCAGAACCTAGCGTGCTCATTCTCCGGTGTACCATACCTCATGGGCCCCATGGTCCTAAAGCCAAAAATCAAAAGGGCCTTTAGTAAAACCAGCTTTCAGAGCCATTTTGGGCTTGAGGGTTTCAAGGCCGTTGGGGACAGCAACGAAGAAGGCTGTGAGTACCCTGAACAGAAGGTTCAGGTTGCATGTATCCACAGCACCGTTGATTTTCGTCAGAAAGCACAGCTGGTATCATCTAGCCTTGACTTCGGTGTAGGTGTCAATCATGTCCTGGGCATAGCTCTGGCGCAGTCGCCCGAACCCGAAACTGCGAAGCACGAGACAGGTGGCACACTGGGACCGCAGCGATGATCAGGGACTGGGCACCCTGCTGCTGCGTGCAAAACAGTGCAAGCTCAGAAAGTCTCAGAGAGAGAGAAAGAGAGTCCGTGCCGTAGCCTCGGAGTGCCGCGCCCCCAGCAAAGGCAGCCCGGAACTCGAGGGCACAATGCCGCGAACCACCCTGCGTCCGCTGCCACTGCCACTTTCCCAAAAGAGAGCATGCAAAGCTGCAGAAGCAGAACTGCAGAATCGCAAATCGCCGACGGCCTGTGGCGCTGATACCTCAGGCTCTCCGGTGGACGTCACCGAAGAGCGTCCAGTAGCATGTGATCGGTTGAGATGAGATCATCTCGAGCTGGGGTTTGCGCACCAACGGAAGCAGCCTGGAACCATCCTCGCAAGGCATCGAAGCATCCCCAGATACTTGGAGGTTCTTTCTGCAAATCGATGCTTCACTGGGACCGACTGCAGGAATGGCCTTGCGAAAGCAGATGTCCAAGCTCGGAGTGCCTGAGATCAAGACAAGCAGTCCCATTACCTGCACTTTGCTACCTGCGGCCTGAGTGTCGGGCGAAAGTCGCCGGTGCCAAACTCAGAGACCTAACGCAGAACTAAAAAATTGGTGTGTCGGAATGCATGTTGCAAAACCCTGAAAGCGTCGCGGGGCACTCGCGGAATTGGCCATCTCTCGAATTTCGAAGCCTGGCAACCTTTTACGAACCTTGCGAAACCTTAAGTGCTTTCGGGGCTGTTTTTTGGTATGGCCACTACCCTGGCCTCGAAATTCTTCGTCTGTCCTGACGCAGCGTCTTGCGCAGCGTTCTCACACGGAAGAATCCCACTGCTTCGATAGCTGATAGCTTGTGCAGTGCCGGCTTTGGGGCCCGCCGAGGTCCCTCAGGTCCCTCAGTAGGTCCCTCAACCTGCCTTCTGAAAGATTTCAGCGCGCTGTTGTTCAACTGCCGCTAGCTCTGCCTCCATGCTTGAAGCCATTGGCCTTTGGAGGTCCGCTATGAAAAAGGAGCTCCATGAGTATTGGGAAGGAGAAGGGAACTAGCACTATATAGTGGGTGAAGAGAATGTGTGGAAGTAGGATCCAACCTCTAAAACGCTAAACCTTCAGTAACCTGTAAGGCCTGCCCTTAGCTGCCAAATGACGGAAACCCTCAAACACGCGATAAATGCTTCAAAGATTCTCCAAGCCTTCTTCCAAGCCCCCCAAGGGCACCCGCTCGAGCAGTTTGGGTCTCGGGCTTCGAGGAGCTTGGAGCCCTTGAGTCCCTGCCGGCCCGGTCCAGGTGGGTGTAACGGGCCTGCTGCGCCGCTTAGAGGCACCGAAAAGGGCTTCAATGATTCAATTCTCAAAGAGGCGGAGGTACTTGCATAAGGCTGTCAGGGATGTTCAACGAGGTTCTCATGTCTCATATGAGTTCCTCTAATTCTCAGAACAATTCTGCATGTTTCAACGAGTTGAAACAGGATTCTACATACGTGTTTCAGGCACTGCCCAAAGATTCTACAGCACCTATTCACAATCATGTATCAGCATTTTCCTTTCATCGTGTGTGTGTGTGTGTGTTGTCGTTGGTACAATGTCGGCGGAGATTCTCTTCACTAGTCGGCAGCTACACTGAAGCCTCCAGACTCCAGGCTTGAGGCCTTCCCCTTCTCGTGAACCTCAGTGGGTCAGGGGTGTGCCCAAGCCCGACAGCAGCCACCTGCTCCCCTTGCTCCTCCTCCTCCTCCTCCTCCTCCTCGTCCTTCCCATAGTGATTGAATGAAGGCGCGTTGTGAGTGCGATGGGAGGAATTGGGCGCCGACCCTCGGAAACATGGCTCATATGGGTTACATGTAGTTCAGCGCTTCATCGGGATTTCAGGGGGGGTTTCGGGGCCGCCGGAAAGAATTTCATGCAGGTGGAACTGGGGTTGTTTACAAGACGTTAAACTGTTCATGGAGATTGAAGGATTCCTGCGAGGAGCTCAAGTGAATTTATTGGCCATGAACAGCCGAACAGCCTGCAATTGGAGGAAGCCTTGTGGGAAGTCGCGGATGTGCCGATTTTGAATGTGACATCGACAGCGGAGCGATTCCCGATCGAGGCCGGTGGCGGCCGGTGGCTTTCATCATGGTCTGCATCCCTATTCAGAACACGGCGTTCTGTGGACAAGGTGGATCGGGGCAACAGGATTGGGGCGCTCGTGCAGGACCTCTTTGGGAACTGATGGTCTACTGAGTCTACTAAACTACCTGAGTGGATTACAAGGCATAGGACTCAGGAGGAGGAGGAAAGCAATCAACAAGCATCGGGAGTTCGACGACAAAGTCGAATGCAGTAGTTACCGCGCTCCCCTTCTGGGATAGATGCCCACAGCGTCCACGTGAACTACCACAACTTAGCGCCGAACAATGGAGGCAGCGTGTGAGTTTGCCACAAGGATTGCCTCACGTTATGTCCCGGGAACCGGGAGGCGACATGCTCGAGACGAAGCCTGGTTTGTCAGGCGCCATGCCCTCGTTCGTGAAGGCAGCGGAAACGAGCCTCCGAAAGGGGAGCCAATGAAACCTTCCTTCCTTATTGATGAAGATGACTCGGCTGAGCAAATGTCCGTTGGTTGAAGCTGAGCCAGGCGTGATTGCGGACTGTGTCGCTCCTGAGGGCACCTACCTGAAGTTCCCTCGTGACGCAACAACAAGTCAGGTTCAGTCAAGGCGGGCAGGACATCTCCCTAGAGTCCGAAAAGAGGCTCCTGGCTTAGCAGTGAGTGTGCCGTTTGCAGAGAAGGAGAGACCTCCAGACTTCAACCTTAAGCCTGTTAATTGGCTCCAGCAAGCGACCCCCCCGGGACGACCTTTGCAGTTGAGCCTCGCTGTCTCGATGTTACCGCGACGGGCGCCGCGGCTTCTCACAGCTTCACAAAGCCGGTTTTGGAGCCGAGCCTGATCGACCATCCATAAATCGAGAATCTCGTACTGTGGCTGCTCGTACGACGTACGAGCGCTGTACGGTTTGCGCCAGTCGCCAGTACTGAAGTGGTCAAGGTCTCAAGCTACCGCGACAAGAGCACGGAGCATATGAGCTGGATGTCACGGCCAGCAGTTTTGGTGATGTCGCGAGGAATAACAATAAGCAGCTCGGCCGTGAAAGAGGCGAGGTGTGCTTTGGCCCCTGACCTACCGAGACGATTACCTGATGGGAGGGGAGGCGATCATGCAGCTCGCTGAGATGATAGCCGATCGCGGGTGGGAATCGTCGGAGCTCTCCAAGACTTTCCAAGGGCAAGGCAGAAGCCAGTGAGAAAATCCGACATTGCGCCCTCACCAAAGCAAGATCAAGATCCCATGCTACGGATTTGATGTTGCCTTCTGTCCTCAAGCATCTGCAGAAGTCACGTTGTACCCCGACACGGCCTTCGCCCCTACATCGAGAAGTCAAACTGTTTGGGTTATCTGCTACGGAACTCCAGTGTTCTGGCGAAGTTCAATTCGGAGCACGACAGCATTGTCAACAGCCGAGGCGGAATTCACGCCATTCTGGAAGGCAGCATAGCGATGTTGCGGGTGGAGTGCGTGTTGTACGACACATCGGAGGGGGTCCGCGATCGAATGGTTGGATCGGGTTCCATGAGTGCGTTGAGTCAGCGGGAACAGGGAGCTAGTGGACACGACATCTACGCCGATCTACCCATCAGGGTTCCGGCAACCATCGGACCTTCTAATCAAGGCCCTCCCAAGTCAGCGGCTGTGCGATCTCTCACAACTATGGCACTATGGAGTTGCCTTGGCTGATACTAGCAACAGACAGCATACCACAGCGACCAACATCCTTGATGTGATTGTGTGGGATGCGCCGATCGATGTAGCCTTATCTTTCTTCGCGCCGCTACTTCAGCGAGAGGAGAAGTACAGTCGAGGCTGGAGGACATGGCAGCATGATCCAGGCGGCCTGGTCGGGAGATAACAAAAGGCGGCGGGACCCCCAATTCAGAGACACAGCTCCAGACATTCAGCATGAACTGGACAGGCGAGGTTAGGACCAGCCTCACGACAATTACGATACCGAGGCACCATGACGTGAGTGGTAAAGTACTATTGAGCTTCAAGACATTGCCACCTCAAGGACCATCCACACACGGAACACGCGATGAAAGTCGCACATGTGTCAGAGAGTGGACGGTTCTCGACTGCTTCAACGGCCCAGGGAAGGCTACGAAGTAAAGCCTTTGAGTCGTTTTGTAAAGTTGTACATCCCGTTCTTGCAGGCTTTGCACCAGCATACACCTTCAAACACTTTCGCAGCGTCGACAAGAAAGATTTGTGCGAATTCGTCGCCTCATGGTTACAATCCAGAATGAACATGACTGAGGCAGCTAGAGGCAGCCGGCGAACAGCTAATGATATTGATGATCGTAATCATCAACACTAATTCTGTGGCTTTTGGAAAGCTGTTTAGTTTCTTCTGTGAAAACATGACGGTCCGGAGAAATAGTTCAAGGGTCAATTTCAGAGAAAATCATACCCCGGGGACTGAAAGCTCAGCGTCTGCAATCGGATATTGCACGTCTACTTGGAGAAAGAGATTCTTGAGCAGCAGGCATCGGTTGTGTCGGGCCTTCTGGCAACACCTCGGGCTCCAGTTCAGGTGGATGTTGAGCAACGGAAGACCTGAGGCCAGCACACGAACGGGCTGATTTGACCATGGCGATATATGCCAGTGTGTGTATATGTATGAACATATATATGTTTCTACATGTATATATGTCTATACTTGTTATATGTATATAAACATGTACACACAAATGTATACATACACCTAAATGTATAGGTACATTTTTGCATGTGTATATACTTTTCATTGAAATGATCCGCGGTTCCCTTTCAAGGCCCTGTCTTTCCTGAGGCAAGTTCAGAAAATCAGGTCCTAATCCCCACCGTACATACAAGGATACTTACTGTTCGGTTCCTCGAGGTTTCAGAAAGCCTTCTCATCCTATCCGTCCTATCCCCTCCCCCAAAAACACCCCTCCCCATGACGAGCAGGGGCCCCACTTCTCAAGAATCTTCAGAAGCTGCTCCACCAAGGCTTTCCTCTTCGCCTCCTTGCTGGCTCCGTTCAGATTTGCTATTTTATACTATTCCTACTGCCGGCTATCACTATTTGTCATTGTGATTCTGCAAGCTATTGCTATTATGTCTCTGTAGTTTCTATTCGTTTCCGCTTTATGAACGGCATGTGTGCACCTGGTTTCTTTTTTTGAGTACTCGAACTTGATCATTACTCCCTAGCTTGGGAGCTCTCCTGCCCCAGCTTGCTCCACATGTTTCTCAGTCGCCAGGTGAGGTTTTCGACCTGAAGTTACTTGCAAGCTTGGTGCTGCTGTGTCGATGGGAAGTCTCACTGAACGCTGGGAAACCTGAGTGCCCATCACGGGCCATGTGCCAATCTCCACCGCGCTCACTCCTCCTGGCACACAACTAGGCGGCTAGATGTGCCGGCTAGGTTGAGGTGAGGCTTCCTCTGTTCGGACCGTTGCATGGCTGTTCTCGAAGAACGCCCGCGTGTTCATGTCCCAACATACAACACCGGCAAGCACCGGCAATTCTCACTGATGACTTCCGGGCCATGGGGAGAACTGCCGACGAGGCACATGTGTGTTGACAGCATCCAGAGCTGCTGGGGGTCGATACTCTCCTGGAAAGCTCGAAAAAATAGGACATGCACCTGGGCTCCGCCCCTGCAGAAAGGTCACACCGCGCGGCAGGTTCAAAAGTTCAAGCTTCGATGTCCTCATCCTCGACCATTCGAAGCAGCTCACCCATGGAGTACTGTGCTCCTGCCTGGCAAAAACTGCGCAGCTCGGAGGTTCATGGCGGAAGTCGAGGAGAGAGCTGGAGATGCGCAGTTACTCTACGGCCGCGCCGGAGCGGGTTCGAAGGTCAGCGCCGGGTCGGACTCAGACAAAAAGGTGAGATCCTCAGCGGTTCGGGCTCGGCTTCGAGAATTGCGAAGGCTCGGCTTGGGCTTCTGAGTCGCTCACGTGGCCCATCCCGACCGAATTACCTGGCCGAAGCTGGCATCCCGCCCATAATGCCATAAGATATCCTCCCTTGTCTTGCACCAGACAAACGCCGGGTCGAAGAAAGTCCCTTTCATTAAGCTTTCTTTGACCGCTAAGCGCCAACCAAACACGCCAAGCATTCCGTAGTGCAAGTGCTCCAAGGAGCCATACTGATCCTGCAGTTCAGGCAGGAGGGAGCAGGGCCAATTTCATGCAACAAGCAACAACAAACAACTCAACTGAGCGAATGCCTACGTGTACAATGGACCTCTATGTGTCATGTGCCGTTCTGCCTTGTTGTGAGTCCAGCTCCATCCGATAGTGCCAAACCGCAGGAGAAGGCATGAGCTTGGACACGGAGAAATCTTTTGCCTACATTTCCCTCTGTGGCATTCTTCTCTGCATAAAACGTGGCTCAGGGAAAGGGAAGATTACCTTCCCCAGCGATTTGTTTCCTTCTCCCCCTCACTCTCACTATCTCTTTCGCCGTGTCTTCATATGTATATACTTACAAATAAATATAAATAAATAAATAAAAATATATATATATATATATGTATATATATATATATACATATACATATAAATATATGGGTACCCCCCTATATGGGGTCCCCTGGGTTTTTGCACACCTAAACCATTAAACCAATAAGCCATTAAACCAATCCTTTCCCCCAATGGACCCAAACCAATAAACCATTAAACCAATCCTTTCCCCCAATGGACCCAAACCAATAAACCATTAAACCAATCTCTTCCCCCAATGGACCCAAACCAATAAACCATTAAACCATTAAGCCAATCCTTTTGCCCCATACCACTAAACCATTAAACCATTAAACCATTAAACCAATCATTTCCCCTATAGAGAGAGACACATCCCTGTATGGGCCGAAAGCATTGGTTTAATGGTTTAATGGTTTAGTGGTTTAGTGGTTTAAGGGCATTGGGGGAAAGGATTGGTTTAATGGTTTAATGGTTTAGTGGTTTAGCTCTATAGGTTCAAATGATTGGTTTAATGGTTTAATGGTTTAGTGGTATGGGGCAAAAGGATCGGTTTAATGGTTTAATGGTTAATTGGTATGGGTCCATTGGGGGAAAGGATTGGTTTAACGGTGTACTAATTTAATGGTTTGTTGATGGTTTAATGGTTTAGTGATGGGTCTAGGGCTGTCTACTATGCAGGTGTCCTGGTTATAACCGGGGACAGAGGTTATAACCAGGCCTGTGCCACCGCTACTTCATCAACACCTAAATCCAAACGTTCGAAAGTTTCGGTGTTTCAGTGAATGTAACCGCAATGAAAGTAAACAAGGACTAGAAGAATAGAGGGTCCCAGGTAATTGGCATATATTCGGTTGCTGAGGCATGATGCAGTGCTCTGTAACAAACATAATTCCGGGGACCATGTGCGCATTCCCCAACTTTAGCGGAAAGGCTATATGGCGGACTTTACATAATGGTCTGTCCGTTCCAGTACATCGGGTTTATGAGATCAGTGTACACATTGAGAGAATAGCCGCTAACATGTCACTCACCCAGGAACCAAAATGCGCAATATGAAGGGGCTCTATCGGGATTAAAGTAGGTCAGTAAGTGTTGTCAACATTGGAATATCACGGTACACAGAAAGTTGAGATACGACTGATACGACGTCATTGTAGGGGAGAGACAGTATTTCAAAGTTTACAGCGTGGTCAGGTTTCATCACTTCGTACATAGGCAAACTGGTTGCAACGTTATGTTCAAACATCGTTCCAAGGAAGCCGGATTTCGACGAGACAAAACTGATAAGAATATGTGTGGTGAGCGAAACAAAATTTGCAACTTGCAAATTGTTAGGTTTCCTCGCTCGGTACGTAGAAAATTCCTAGCACTGCTATTTCCAACTGCATGGATGAACCTCTTTCGAGGAGTGATTCGGTGTGTGGTTACCACTTTTTCTAACACGAGGATCACGTTCTGGACTGGGAACAATGGCTTCTATTCGACCTTCAGTGAATATTCACAAGAACACAAACAGAAATTCGGACAAGCTAGATGTAGCCTTATGGTTTTCAGTCGGCTTTACGTGATGGTTAAATTATGCTGATACAAAAAAACACAGGCTTCATCACTCAGCATATAGAGACAGTGCGCGTCCTAAGAAGCGACGCTTCATGTCGTCCCCCAGGAAAAACACTACACAACGTTTGCTAAGCTTGTAGTATGCAAGTTATCAATTTTGGCTTGGGGCAGCCGTCATACAGAATTAAGGAATGCACCACTCAAATACACCTACCGGATATACCAGTGTTTAAAAGCAATCACATAGGGGCACAGGGATATGTCATTGAAAGCTCTCAGTTTGCCAAAACGTCATAGCAATGCGTCCAACAACAGAGACTTTGGTGGGATTGCGGCATTACAGTACAAAGATGGAGAACTTTTCGTTCCAAAATCTAGTTCGCGACAAGGAATGACTGAAGCAGACTCATGACTACAGCGCGCTTGTTGGAAAAACTGAAATACAGCGGTTTAGATACAGTCACACAAAGATGAACTACGAAGATATATCGACGGCTTCAAGGCAAGGATTTTAGCACATTGTAACGGGGTTTCGACGAGGGTGTCATAGAATTCTTAGCGTTGTGCGGGTTTCAGCATTCTGAAAGCATGGGTTGTTGCAACTTCCCGGGTTAGTCTTCAAACCGGATATAATACTGTAGTCGATGACGTACACCTGATTATAACCTAGTCGGCTGGTTATAACCTAGCTTGGTGGTTATAACCGAGTCAGTTGGTATAGCGAAAAACGTAGGGGACCCCAAATAGGGGTGCGCCCAAATATATATATATATATATATATATACATATACATATATATATATATATACATATATATATATACAGAAAGTGTTATGTATATATATATGTGTATGTATGTATGTATGTAGGTATGTATGTATCGCGCTCTCTCCCTGTGAAAATAACACCTCCCTTTCTCCCCCAGACTTTGCCAACCGTCGTTGGCTCAAGACCACTTTGCCCTACGAGAAAAGGCGCTGCTGAACTTCAGGGTTACTTTGGTCTAAGTCGTGTGAGCTTGTGCACGGAATTACTTTAGGGCAGTTTGGTGCGCATTCTGGACTAGTGTACTTTCGCATGGTAGCGGAGCTGAAAGCTCCACGGAACTTTGGTAGAACAACATGGCGCTAGGAGGTGAAGACAACTTTACAGGAAAGCTTCGGCTTCCTCTGCCAGAGACTTTCTCTGGGAACCCAGCAGACTGGGAAGAATGGTCATGGAACTTTAAAGCGTACATTTCGATGTTCGAGGTAGGTGCTGTGACTTTGATGGACAATGCCGAAATGCGAACGGCAGCGCAACGTGACTTTACAGATGCTGATCTAACAGTCACTTTAGGCACAGGTGATGTTGATCCGGAACAGACCGCCAACCGAGTACTTTTCTCCCGAAAACTACATTACCTGATTTCTCAACTTGTGAAAGATTCGGCAAAACTTGTTGTTCGTCAGAACGAGGACAGCAACGGCTTTGAGACATGGAGGAGACTTTACAAGAAGTTCTCGCTGCCAGGAGCCACGCGGAGTACGTCACTTTTGACGCAGCTGTTGGACTTTAAGTTCAACCCAGCAACCTTTGAGCAGGACTTTAATGTTTGGGAGACAATCAAGAGTAGATATGAACGACAAGTAGGACAACCTTTGCCTGATGGTGTTCTTGTTGCAACTTTGCTGAACAAAACCTCTGGAGCTTTACAACAACACCTTAGGTTGAATGCCCAAACTTTGGCAACTTATGCTCAGGTTCGAGAAGTTATCCTTGAGTGCCATAGGTCACGACTTTTGATGAATCCAGTTGCACAAACTTCGGCGAATGCAACTTTTGCTGGTGGAGCCTCGGCTCCCATGGACATTGGTGCCTTAGCGGCAGCTTTGTGGAAAAGGAAAAGGAAAAGGAAAAGGGAAAGGAAAAGGAAAAGGAAAAGGAAAAGGAAAAGGAAAAGGAAAAGGAAAAGGAAAAGGAAAGGACTTTTCGAAGTCGTTTGGAAAAGGAGGACAACATTGGAACTTTATGATGAAAGGAAAAGGAAGAGGAAAAGGAAAAGGAAAGCCCACTTCTGGTTCTACTTCGGTTTGCTGGACGTGTGGTAAAACAGGTCACTTTTCGAGCAACTGTCCTTTGAACCGTGTTTCAGCTGTTGAAGGTGAAGAACTTTACCCGTCGGAGGACGCAGGAGATTGGAATCACTTTGGTGAGTCCGATGATTGGACAGATTGGACCGAATGGGCCGTGAACGCGGTCACGGAACTTTACAACGACCCTAACAGTTGGGATCAGACTTGGGATGATCAACTTTGGTCTTGGGATGCTTGGTCCTGGGATGTTGACCCTTGGGGTTGGTCTTCGGACTTTACTTCAGAAGTTTGGCCTTCAGAGGCTGCTCCTTCGGCGAAGGCCGAAACTTTGGCGAAGCCCAAGGAAGAGGCTTCCTCGTCAAGCGGCGCGGCAACTTTGCCCGTGTCGGCTGTGACTTTGCAAGGACCACCTGGACTTTCAACCCCCAAAGCCAAGCCTAAAGCTAAAGCAAGCATCAGCCCGAGCACTTTGCTCATGTCGGCTGTTGTTCTCGGCAACTTTGGTTTGGGGAACACTTTCAGAGTTGATGGGATGACGAATGGAGTTGTAGACTTCAGCTTTGGTGGTTTCGGAGAGTGTGAGAACTTTGAGCCTACGGCCTGTATGGCACCGCTTGAGACTTTCTCCTTGAATGGTCGCACGGAGGAGAACCAACGACTTTTCAGTGTTGGGGATCTTGATCTTAAGAATCTGAATACGACTTTCAAGGATGTTGCTTTGGAGGAGCATTTGATTGCTTCGACTTTGGAGGACACCGAGCCGTGGATCCTCTTTGATTCAGGTGCTGCAACTCACTGTTGCCCGAAGGACTTTGCCTCAGAGTGGCCACTTCTGCCACTCACAGGGAAAGCTCCACCTTTGAGGAGCATTTCGGGTCAGCCTTTGACGGTCTTTGGAAGGAGACTTGTGAAGGTTGACTTTGAGGGCCAGCCCTGTTTCCTACACTTCTACGTTTGCGACGTTCCCTACTGTGTGGTGTCAGTTGGCAGACTTTTGAGGTCAGGCTTTGACGTGAACCTTTCTTCTAAGAAGG